AGGTAACTATTTTTCATTTATATAAATATTTTTTAAAATATTCTAATAATATATTAAATATATATCTACTTAATAACTTAAAATAATTGATAACATTTTTAATAACATTATAATTGTTTTTAAAAATAGTGTACTAACTTATTAAATAATTTAGTAATATAATTATTTGATTTTATTTTTTAATTTAACATGTGAATAAAAAAATTAAAATTAATTATTAAATTAGTCATCGAATTTTCGGTCACCTAGAATCGGTCCATCTGATTCGGTCATCACGATCGATCATCGAATCGATCCATCGAATCGGTCACATCGATCATCGATCAGTCGATTCGATCATATGATTAATATATATATATATATATATATATATATATATATATATATATATATATATATATCTTAATAAAAATGTATTTCAATATATTTATAAAAAAAATTAAAATTATTTTAATTACTAAATTGATATTTTAAATTTATATTAATATTTTGGATAATTTAATAGTTAGATATATATTTTAAGTTTATATTAGTTATTTTTATATAAATTGTAAAGATTAAGTAAATTTATTTTAAAATTTAATTAAACATAATAATATAATATACTATTAACCATATTATTAGTTAGAAATTAATTTTAAGTTTTATCATATTTATTTAAAAAAAATTGTTAAAAAAATTTTAAATAATTAATTAAAATAAAGAAATTTAATTTAATAAATGTGTTAATATTATTAGTTATTAGAAAATTAAATTTATAATAATAATAATTATATATAATTTCACTCCCTCCCAAATTCATGCTGATAGCCCTCCCAAATTCACCTTCCCGCTCACAATTTCACTCCCTCTTTGTGACCTTGTACCAGTGACTATCCACCATTGTTCGAGCTTAATCACCTTCGTCTCTCTAACCCCAATCCTCCACCCTTCTATTCAGCTTCGAAGATCTTTAACCCAGCATGCATGACCTGACCTCAAGCTTGAAATCCAACCCAGTGACCTTGAATCTCAAATCTGAGTGACCAAAACACCCAATCAAAACCCAAGCAACTTCGAATCTCAACCCCAGCCTCAACCTCGACGAACTCGAGGCCGAACCCCATTGCAAAACTTTCTTGTAAAACTTTTCAAGTTATTTTAACTGATAAAAATAAGTTTTAATCGATTAAAACGTTGTGCAGAAATTGTTTTAATCGATTGAAACCAGAATTAATCGATTAAAAGAGTTCTGATCGGTCATAATTGCATTCTGATCGATCATAATTGTACTTCGCTTGAGCGACAGTCTTCTCGCTCGAGCGAAACGCCCCCTGCACAAAATTGGCATTCTCGGGTTGTGTTTCGCTTGAGCGAAACATTCCTCGCTCGAGCAAAAATCTGTGCAGAAACTGTTTTAATCGATTGAAACAAGATTTAATCGATTAAAATGGTTCTGATCGGTCATAATTTCATTCTGACCGATCATAACTGAAACGATATCATAGTGGTTCTTGTGTAACCGCTATCTAAGTGAGTTTTTAAAAGCGACTTCTCGCTCGGTGAACACGCTTTCACAAAATGTATTCTCGCGTTGTATTCGCGACGAAACCCTCTCGCTCGAGCGAAACGCCCCCGCACAAAATTGGCATTCTCGGGTTGTGTTTCGCTTGAGCGAACCTTTCCTCGCTCGAGCGAAAAGTTGTGCAGAAACTGTTTTAATCGATTGAAACGAGATTTAATCGATTAAAAGGGTTCTGATCGGTCATAATTGCATTTTGACCGATCATAATTGAAACGATATCATAGCGGTTCCAGTTGAACCGCTATCTAAGTGAGCTTTTAAAAGCGGTTCTCGTGTAACCGCTTTCTAAAATGTATTTCGCTTGAGCGAGAATCATCTCGCTTGAGCGAGAATCTTCTCTCATATATTAATATACATTATTAGCATAATTTTAATTTAATTAAAAATTAGAATACAAATATACTATACTATACTAATATACCATTATATTATTTTCGTTGTATATAAATTACAAAATTAATAATTTGTATACTATACTAATAGTATAATATACTATATTATAATATTATTTGTATAGAAAACTAATATCTTTAAATATAAATATGAAAAGATATAAATATATGTAAAAATATGAAGATATAAATATATAAATATATAAAAATATAAATATATGTAAAAATATAAAGATATAAATATATCAATATTTAAATATATCAATATATTGATTAGATTTTCGAAATGATACAAATATATAAATATATAAAGATATAAATGTATAAGGATATAAATAAATATATAAATATATCAATATATAAATATATCAATATATAAATATATCAATATATAAATATATCAAAATATAAATATATAAATATAAGTTTTTAAAACTTTTCAAGTTATTTTAACTGATAAAAATAAGTTTTAATCGATTAAAACGCATGTGTGAAATTGTGTTTAATCGATTGAAACGAGATTTAATCGATTAAAGAGTTCTGATCGGTCATAATTGCATGCTGAACGATCATAATTGAAACCATATAATAGCGGTTTCAGGTTAACCGCTATCTAAGTGAGCTTTTAAGAGCGGTTCCGTGTAATCGCTATCTAAAATATATTTCAGCTGAGCGATACTCTTCTCGCTCGAGCGAAACGCCTCTGCACAAAATTGGCATTTTCGGATTGTATTTCGCTTGAGCGACTCTAATCTCGCTCGGCGATGGTGCAACCGCTATTAGAAGTAAATATAAACATATAAATATATAAATATATATAAATATGTAAATATATATAAATATGTAAATATAAATATGTATAATATGTAAATATATATATAAACATATATCTTTAATATTTTGTAAATGTAAATATAATTTATATATATTTTTAAATCTTTTTCTTATATTTATTTTTAAAAATATAATATTATTTTTAAAATTTAATATTTTTTTTCAAATATATAAATATATAAAGATATAAATGTATAAGGATATAAATAAATATATAAATATATAAATATATCAAAATATAAATATATAAAAATATAAATATATAAATATATAAATATATAAATATATAAATATATAAATATATAAATATATAAATATATAAATATATAAATATATAAATATATAAATATATAAATATATAAATATATAAATATATATATATATATATATATATATACAAATATATCAATATATCAATATTATCCCCTCATATATTAATATACATTATTAGCATAATTTTAATTTAATTAAAAATTAGAATACAAATATACTATACTATACTAATATACCATTATATTATTTTCATTGTATATAAATTACAAAATTAATAATTTGTATACTATACTATACTAATATATTATTTGTATACTATACTAATAGTATAATATACTATATTATAATATTATTTGTATAGAAAACTAATATCTTTATATATAAATATGAAAACATATAAATATATGTAAAAATATGAAGATATAAATATATAAAAATATAAATATATGTAAAAATATAAAGATATAAATATATCAATATATAAATATATAAATATATAAATATATCAATATTTAAATATATATTAAAATATATAAATATATTTTTATTTATAGATTTTATATTTATATATTTATACGGATATACATTTATTTGTATATAAATATAATTTATTTGTAAGTTATTGTTAAAAGATCCTAAGTAGCTCAGCTGGTTGGAGTTTCGACCTCCAACTCTAAGGTACCGGGTTCGATCACTTGATTCGGTCACACGATTCGGTACTATCGAATCGGTCACCGATTCGGTCATCGATCGGTCACTCGAATCGGTCACTAAAATCGCTGACCAAGGAAATAGTGACCGATTCCAGTTGAGTCACTATTTCTGGTCACTATTTTAATTAGTAACTCGATTTTGCACATTTAGTGACCGAATTTTCTAGGTCCACTATTTGGTGTTTTTCTTGTAGTGATTGTTGAAACCGAAAATGCTCGATTTATTGAAAATGGTGAAACCAAGTGGGAGTGAAGCTTCACGAAATGTGGAGATTAAGGAAGTTAGAGTACAAGTTCCCGTAACTAGTACATCTTCTTCAATAGTTGTTGTTCCACATGACAATCAAGAAGAACAACAAATTAATGATCCCGAGATTAACAATGAACCAATAATAGAACAACCACAAGAAATAGTATTAAGAAGGTCTCACAAAGAAAGAAAGTATGCTATTTCGAATGATTATGTGGTTTATCTAC